ATTCTGGGAGTTGAAGTCCACTCATCTTAAAGTGGCCAAGTTTGGACAACACTGATCTAATTGATGGCATGGCCAACCATCTTTGAAAGTGATATATGACTTGGTCCTGAATGTGTTACCTCTTGACATTTAATAGATGCTGTGCTTTTAACAGCAAGAACAAAGTTATTTATTTGTTCAATTATAAGTCATTAAACATCATTGCATAGCTGAAGCCCCTGTAGGAACAATGGCTCCAATACAAGAATGTATAAACCATAATATCAGTTTTGGATGGTGTACAGTGTTAATCTTAAGAACATTCCTTCAAAGTTTCTGGGATAAACAAAGCAACATTGTCAAAGATATACTGATTTTGATCTTAAAGTAAATAGCCAGAATTATAGTCAGGTCAAAACTGCAAGGCCATAGAATCCATTAAGCAGGAAGAAAATGTAGCTTTGGGGACTGTATAAATAAATCATCCCACCACGTAATGATAATTTCTTGAACAGGCAATTAATTAGCAGATTGTAGGGACACCCATCCATATATATAGAAGACCTTTTAAATAAAATGAGAGCTGCAAAAGCCGTAAGGAGGACTGTTTTCAATCAGTCCTCCTTACAGATTTCAATTATAAAAGCAACATTTCGTAACATGGGTTTCTTTTCATCAAAGTGTAGATACAGTGGTCAAAATGAAAAATGAGTATCTTCTCATGTTCCTATATTTTGGCTTTAGGCAGACAAAACAGCATTACTCACAGATGTAGATTAGGGAAATGAATAACTGTGACAACGAGGGGGGAGCTAAACATAGGAGTCCCCAAAAGCTGAGAACATCTGCAAGACGGCAAAAATAATGTTGCAATGTAACCCCCATCCCATTTGGATGAGGGTGTGTATGGGTGATGAGGCGTATACAAAAAGGGCAGGGCTTAGCTTACAATGCCAGTCCTGTCATCTTGCAGATTTTGACCTCCCCTGCAGATGCAACTGGACCTTGGCTTTTCATTTTATTTTATTTTATTTTATTTTATTTTATTTTATTTTATTTTAATTTAATTT